GGTGCCTGTGCCGAAGCCGCCCGTCGCGGCGGTGCCTGTGCCGAAGCCGCCCGTCGCGGCGGTGCCTGTGCCGAAGCCGCCCGTCGCGGCGGTGCCTGTGCCGAAGCCGCCCGTCGCGGCGGTGCCTGTGCCGAAGCCGCCCGTCGCGGCGGTGCCTGTGCCGAAGCCGCCCGTCGCGGCGGTGCCTGTGCCGAAGCCGCCCGTCGCGGCGGTGCTTGTGCCGAAGCCGGTTCCAGCCGACGTCTGTCCGAGTCCGAACATGCCCTTACAACTACCACACTATAGCGTGGGAGGAAATCAAAGAGAAAGTGGCGGAGCGTGGGCTCGGGGCGAAAAGAGACACAGAAGGCGGCGCCAGAGTTGTGCAGCCCGGCACTGCTTCAACCCCTCAGCAGAGCAGAAAAAAAAACAGCAAGGGGGCACAGCGTCATCACGGCCGAAGTACAAAAAAAAAGGAACAAGGCAGAAAAGCACATGTACGGTCGCTCGGGTCACGCCACGACCGGGACAGAGTCCAGTCGGTGCTATCATATTCCAAAACAAGATAAGGTCAAAGACCGTCCTGCAACGCACACCCACAGTTGCAAGGCAGCAGACCCACTGAGTCGCGCAATGCCGCTTCTAAAAATAGCCGCAGGCGTTCCATTCATCACGGTACGCCAAAGCCTTTTTTACGCGATCCTCGCGGTAGGGCAACGTCGTTGCGAGCGCCTTTGCGCGGATCCGCCCGCAGCCCACGGTATTCACAACTTGAGGCCGCATTTTCACGCCACACGCATTCCGTGTCGCGACGGATGTGAGCTGCGGCTGCCGCACATGGCCCACCCCAGCAGGCAAGGCGGGCGTGTCCTCTAGGCTTGTGCAGAATTCGCATTGCCATCGAGGGACAAAATTAGGAAGCGTCTTACCCACCAAACGGCTCCCGCTGTGACGGATGCAGCGCGGATGCCTATCGCACCTTGTGCCAGTGTTGCCCCCACGGCCCCCAAGCAGCCTTTTCTCCCCATCTCTCGCCTCAAGCCTCTGCTGCGGGGTTTTCCGCCAACGCGGCGGCAGTGCTGTCCCGCCCGCCCTGCATTGGCTCAGCACACTTCGCTGCAGCCGCTCACGGCAGAGGAAGCTACGAATCTCCCAGGGCACGCCGTCGCCTTCTTCGCCGGCAACAGGACGCCAAGCAATACCGAGGAGTTTTTCCACGGCCTCTAAGTGCCCCCTGTAAGAGTCGCGCCGCGCGGGCGACAAGATGGGCCCGTCCCAAACCCTTCCAGGCGAAGGCGGTGCCGCCTTCGCGTTACGGCTCAATGCAACGGGCGCAGGACACAACGAATGCCCTCGGCGCGCCAGCGGAATTTCGATGTCACACTGCGATGACGATGGCGACGACGGCGGCGGCGACGACGATGGTGACGACGATGGCGACGACGACGACGACGATGGTGACACGGGAGGGGCGGCATTTCGCGTCTGCTGTCCTTCGGAGTCGCCGAGGGCCACCCGCAGCGGCGTGAGGTGCGGCCTCTCGCTTTCGGTGGGGGTCCCCCGCGTGCTCGCCCGCCGCCGCTGCGCCGCCGCCCGGCCGCGGGGAGTGGAGGCGGCGGACGAGGGGCTCGTCGAGCACGCGGGGGAGCCGCCGCCCACAATGTCGCTGATGCGCCCCTCGTCAAATCCCAGCGCGGCAAGCGTCTCCCGGACGATGCTCACATCCACGTTGGCGTCGCGCAGGACGGACTCCAGGTGGTCGACGTAGGCGTCCTCAAGCGACTGCAGCATGCCCCCGGTGCTGGCGCCCCCAGACCAAACCATCCTGCGCGCGAAGGGAGGCGGCAGAGAGAGGGAGGAAACAAGGAGAGGCAAATACAAAAAAGGCAACAAGACAAAAAAATGAGGGAGAGAAGAGGAGGAAGTAACCGACCCCTTCGTGCGACACTCCCCACACCAGTCAGTGGGGAAGAAAAAGGAAGGGAGGGAGACGGAGAGAGAGAGAGATGGACCGGCCCGCAGACACGCACCCACAACATGTAAGCGTCAGACGCCAACCGCACGCACGACACGCTTCAAATGCCTCGCTCACTGTCCCTCGCAGCCTCCGCCGCCTTTAGCGCGTCCTCGACCAGCGACACATCCCGGGCAACTTTTTGCGTTTCGTGCAAGAGCTTCTCCAGACCCTTGACGGCGGCTACAATGCCCGCCATCCCTTCCAGCACGCCGTTTGCGGAAGCCATTGCCTCACGCAGCTGCTCCTCAAGAAAAATGGTGCCTTGAAGGAGGGCCGTGCTGCACTGCAGTGTCGCCCGACCGGCCTGAACTGCATGTCCCTCGTAGGACGCGACGAGAGCCCCAAATTCGTGCGCCAGACGAGCAGCGGTGACTTCCAACCTCGTCACCTCAAACTCGAGCGGTGCGACGACAGACGACGACGACGGCTGGCACGGCACCGCTGCGTCGTGGTGCGTCGTGGTTTGCCACCCCCCACAACCCCCCGCACCCGGCATCGCTATAAAGAAGAAAATCAAGCAGGAGAAGAGCAAGAGCAAACATGCGTCGTACAGCAAGCAAATTACAAGCTGAGAAGCAGATAAACCCGTCCGCCGCCACGATGCACACACACACACGCGCGTCCGAGGGAACTTGCTGTTATGTTAGTAACGATCACAGGAAGATTCCGCCTCTTTCTGTGCGCTATCACGCACCTTCTGCGTCACGGGACAGCGCCGCTCCTCCTCTTACTTTCTTCCGGCCCCTCTGGGTTTGCCGCCCCTCCGCAGTCTACCCGTCTCCTCCCACAGCGGCTTCGTGTTGTCGTCGCGGCGCCACGCCCTACCCCTCCTTCCTCCCGCCTTCGTCAGCGGCGGCGGCATCCTCCTCGTCGCTCGCAGTCTCCCATTCATTTTGGCTGTCTCCCTCCTCCGACTCCGAGCGCCGCTGCACGCCGGGGGTGGCCATAGCCCCGTTGGGGCGCGGCGGCCCCGCGACCCCCGTGCGCAGTGACGGCTTCGAGGAAGTCGCCTTCTCCCCAACGCTCGCTGCCAGCTGACGGAGCTTGTCAAGCAGCATCCGCTCGAAGCGGGCTTTTTCCTCCACGTCGTCGGAGTCCTCTTCCTCCTCAAACTCCCCATCTTCGTCGTCGTCGCCGTCGTCGTCGTCGAAGAGCATCTCGCGGTCGAGTCCCATCCTGCGCAGGTTCTCCCTCTCCACGGCCCCCATGCGGTACTCCAGTCGGCTGCCGTACCCAGCCTCATCGTCCCCGTCAAGGTACTCCATGAAGTCGGCGTCGTCGTCGTCGTCGTCGTCGTCGCCCCCCCAACCCGCCTCAAAGCGCTCCTCCACGGCGTCGTCGTTGGGTGCACGAAGGCGCCGATCCAACTCCCCCTCGCGCAAGAAGAAGTCGTTGTAGGCCTCATTGATTTTATTCATCTGTTGGGCGACGCGCTCGTTGTAGCCGCCCGTGTTCGCCCATGGGAAGCCATTGCTGGGCGCCCCCGCCTGGCGCAGGGCGATGCGGCGCTCACGCAGCTTCTCGCGCTCGTTCGAGACGTCGAAGTACTCCACCAGCCTTGCCAGGACCTCCTCACACTCGCCGGGGTCGATGCTCTTACCCTGCGCCTGCGCTTTCAGCAGCTCGCTATGGACCACCATCTGCACCAGGCCGTCGCGGGCCTCCTTTTCCAGCTCCGTCGCGATGCGGTAGTTCAGGGACACGTTCGTCTCCTCGTCCGAGCCGGAGGCCTCCTCGGCCTCCTCCTCCTCCTCGTCCCCTGCGCCACGCAGCTGCGACATGAGCTTCCGCGCCACCCGCAGGGCCTCCTCACGCTCGGCTATCTGGACGGGGCCGGCGCCCCCTGCGTCCTTCACGGCGTCGGGGGCCCTCGCAGCCACCGCCGCCTTCGCTGGGAACACCACGCCGGGGTCAAAGAGCGGGGACTCCGCAACGTCGTCAAATATTCCGTCGTCTCCCGTCGGCCCACACCGCCGCTTCCACCACGTGTGAACGACCCACGCAACGAACGCGGAGCTCAGAGCGGCGACGGCGTAGATAGCGCCACGACGCGCGCCCGCACTCTGCGGAACCGTCGCAAACATGTGGGGGGGTTGAAATGCAGACTTCGCCATTGCGCCGCTGCCGCTTGCTTATATTGCTTCGCTTGCGCTTTGCGATACGTGGGCGGCCTGCAGCCAGCGTGCTTCTGCCGCCGCAGGAGGAGCAGAGGGAGGAAACCGCCGAGCCCAATGAGCGAAAGAAGGCAAGACGCAACGGTGTGCACTCCCACACACACGCACAAGCAGGCAGCAAAAGTGGAATGTGGGGAGGGAAAGGGGAGCGCGGTGGGGCCTCCTTCGCCAGATTCCACTGCCCGTGCTGCTCGCCGGGGGCACCACGACCCGTCAGGCGCGTATGAGGCGGCCCGCCAGCCGTTGCCAGCAACACACCGACGGCCACTGGTTGCAAAGAAGAAAAATGTTCAAGAAAGAAAAAAAGAGGTGAGATGAGGAGGGGGGGGGAAAGAGAAGAGAAAGTCCCTGCACCGGTGGTGACCGGGCACCGCCAAAAAAAAACAATAATAATAAAACTGCGGAGCTTCTCTCTCCCTCTCGCTGGCTGCGCCACCCACTCCCAGTGGCGGTGCGTAACTGGCGAGAAGGTGGAAATAACGGATAGCAAAAGCCTCAGTGTTTATTTTAATTTGCTCCCTTCCGTATCCCTCCCT